AGACATCCCACCAACACGCTCTGGCCGTAGATGGCATGGCGAGGTAGCTCTTCCACCCCCCTTCCTTCCCTTCCGGAGAAGGTTTGCTCCTACCCCGTACCCCACGCCGCAAGACTTCCTCCCTCGTCTAGCCACACGAGGTGGAGCCCCATAGGGCCCTTTGGGGGTCTTAGGGACCTCTGGGAGGCTCTTTGGAGGGCTCGTGGGGGCATTGAAAACTTCGTTTTCGAGCTCGAAATGAGCAGTGCTCATTCACGCTGCCCGCCTTTCTGATCGAAGTCCTCCAAGATAGCCCCAAGAGGTCCCCCAATACGCCGAAGAGGGCCCCAAGAGAGCCACAAAGTCAGCACACAATCCCGGATCGTGGGGAGAGGAAACATAATACCGACCATCCTAGCAACGAGGCAAGTCAATAAGGCCATCGCGATATTTTGAAATCGCCTCGACACGCGTTGCGTAAACTGTAATTCGAGATACGCAGTAACTGCGGCAAGGGCTGAAATGCGGGCAACGAGGCAATACTTCGCAAGTCGGGAGGCACATGCACGGCTTGTCGGCGAACGCCAATGGCACTAAGGTGGGTTCGCCACTGCGTCAAGCTGGGCGGGCGCAGCCGGGGGCCGGGCAGCGCGACCAAAGCAACGGCAAGATTCAGAGCAGTAGGGCGGAGGAAGACGCGCTGGTGGGGATCGTTTTATGACTGGGCTGGCGTGGATGCGCGAAACGCCCATGTGAAGGGGCCCTGGGACACACAAATGAATAGACACAAATAACACGATTCCCCTGTATTTTCCTGTAGTTTCTGGGCTTTTGTCTTCCCCCCCACTTCCCATATCTTCCATCTTCTCTGGGGCATCGACGATTCGTTGTGTCGGTGTGATTTTTCCCCGCCCGACAATGACAGAATCTCCGGCACGTGCGCCGGCCCTGGCCGGGCCTATACCCCGAGCCAGACGCACACGCCCTCCCGGCTCGGCCAGAGAAGCCTGCACGCCGATCCTGGGCCGCGGCTGCCATGGGCCTGGCCAGGGCCCGCCCCGTCGCTCGGACGTCCATTCCCTGTGGTTTTTGTTCGGTTTCGTGCGTGGTTTTTGCGCAGGATGATCTACGGCATGTTCGCGTCGTGACGACCCCAGCGTTGGTCTCTGACACCGCGTGGATCGTTCAACCTTGAACGATCGGCCGTTCCCGCAACGTCCAATCGTTCAACATTGACCGATTCTACGTCGCCGCCGGCGTTCAATATTGAACGCCGCCGGCAGGGTCGCCGCCGGTCGACACGACGCGAACCTGCCGTAGGATGCTCCTTCATAATCCCCGCCGAGAAAAAAGTGCACACGTCCGAGCGATACCAAGGACCAGTGAGTGTGTACTTCCGTGGCTTTCGAACAAAAAAAAACGATCATATCTAATGCGTGTTGAAGCGGGTCCTGCCCCCCTGCCCCAATCTCAAAATTCGGGGTGGTCGACGCTGGGGAGTGCGAGTCGTTTCTATAAAAAAACGCACACGTTTGCGAATCGCGGCCTGCTCCCTCAGATGAACACTGGAATTGGGGGCACGGGGGGCGCTCTTGCGCCATCTTTTGTCATTGTACCTGGGCGCTTTTTTCGAAAACGCCAGTATCTTGTCGCGTGACGGATAGCAGGGTGCCCTGCGAGGGTGCTGACGAGTTGCAGCGCCTACTCCACAAAACAGCCAACCCTCTCGAGCCATGATAGTTAGCGACCGCGGTGGGCCCCAGAAGTCTCTCGAGCTCGAGGTATGCCCAGAGGGCTCCAGAGGCACAAAGAGAGCAACAAAAACATACCCAAACCTATATCATCCTCTTTCCCAGTCCTCCTCCTCCTCCTCCTCCTCCTCCTCCTCGAAACGAGGGGGGCTGGTCCTTGCCGCTGTGACTGGACTAGGGCGGTACCCGATCCCAGAGCGCACGGTGCTTCTCCGACTCCCCCGTCCCATTCGGCAGGCACGAGCTGAAAAATGAGGTCGAGACCAGCTGAAGACCTAGTATGGACGATCCCGTTCCGCTCTCGAATTCTGCGAGGCTCGGCTGGGATCCCGTCGTGACGACGTGCACGTTCGTTTCTGACACCGCGTAAATCGCTCTCTCTCTCTCTCTCTCTCTCTCTCTCTCTCTCTCTCTCTCTTTTAGGAGAACGAGCAATGACATAAACATAAAATCTCGGAGGTCCGCGCGGATTTCTCGGATCCGTGCTGGGCCCCCCTGGCGGCGCCCCCAGGCGCCGCACCTGGCGCGCTCCGCGCGCCAGGGAGGGGGGTCCAGCGCGGATCCGAGAAATCCGCGCGGACCTTCGAATTTTTATGCTTATGATGCCATGGTTCGTTCCCCTCTCTCTCTCTCTCTCTCTCTGTGGAGCGTTGGCCGCTATCCGACAACGGAGATTGCTCAGGGTCTGCCTGGTTCAGGCCGCCGGTGGCCTCCAACCATGAGCGCCCGCGCCAGCGCCGCCGCCGCGCGACGAACCTGCAAGAGGTGGGCCCAAGAGCTCCTCCCCTCGCCTCCAGCGTCGCACTCTTTCGGTGGCGTGGGAGGCCCTGGGGCTCTCGGCCCTTCCCCGGGCCGGCGCTCCGTCCTGCATCGCTTCTGGGACAGTCCCGGGGTCCAGGGTCGGGCAGCAGAACTCGGGAGCGGCCAAGAGGGGGGTGTCCAAGAGGGGGGGGTGCAGATCATGGCTGGAGGCATGTGCGCGGCCCAGCGGGGCGGCCAGGGATGTAATGAAATAAGAAGAGGCGCCATGAAATCTGGGGAACTATCATGGCCACCGCCATGACATCCACCCCCCCTGGTCATCACCCCCCTCTTTGCCGCCCCCGAAGAACACCGAGGCCGAAAACGTGGAAACACCGGGCGCCGTGACTTCGATGCGGCGCTCGTCACCCGCGGCTCCGCCTCTCCGCCTCGCTGCAGCCGCAACCCCAGGGGGAGGCACGGGCGATGCTGCCCGGGCCGCAGGGCCGCCGGGCCTGCGCAGCACCCACGGCCCGCCAGGTGCCGCCGCGGCTGGCACCGACTGAGCGGGGGAGGAGGGCCCTCTCTCTCTGCCTCTCTCTCTCTCTCCCTCCCGGTCTCTGCCTCTGTCTCTGTCTCTGCCTCTGCCTCTCCCTATCAGTCTCTCTCTCTCTCTCTCTCCCGATTCCCTCCTCTTCCTCCTCCTCCTCCTCCCTCCTCCTCCTCCTCCCTCCTCCTCCTCCTCCTCCTCGGTCCTTCTCAGCCCTCCTCCTCTTCCTCCTCCTTATCCTCCAGTCCTTTTCCGTATAAACAACTTCTCCCTGTCGCACCCCGATGCCAGTTTTTAGGGCGGGTCGTGCGCTTCGCCTGAGACTTCCTCACGATTAACGGTTCTGACGCTCAAGAAGTGTCAACAGCTTCACAGATGGAGGGCGGGTCGTATTCAAAATGTGGCTCTCGCCTTAGCGCCGCGCACATTCGTGTTAAACACTTGCAAGAGCTTCACGGATTGAGGGCGGTTCCGTTTCAACATGTGGCTCTCGCCTTAGCGCCGCGCACATTCGTTTTACAAATTTGCCAGAGCTTCACGGATTGAGGGCGGGCCGTATTCGAAGTGTGGCTCTCTCACCTTAGAGCCGCGCGCATTCGTTTTACAAATTTGCCAGAGTTTCACGGATTGAGGGCGGTTCCTTTTCAACATGTGGCTCTCGCCTTAGCGCCGCGCACATTCGTTTTTTAAAACAAAAATGCAAGAGCTTCACGGATTGAGGGCGGTTCCGTTTCAACATGTGGCTCTCGCCTTAGCGCCACGCACATTCTTTTTTCGTTAAACATGTAAGAATTTCACGGTTTCCCATGGTGAGCGTACCAGAAATTGTGCCTTGGAAGGGTTGGAGATTATGCGGGTCAACAATTCTGTTGGTTCGCGGTGTTGAATTCCCCCAAATGGTGTTCTGGCACGATTCTGGATCGTCAGGACGCAGCAGTCAGGTTGATCCGTGGCGTTAAATTCCCGAGAGCAATGTTTTGGCATGCTTCAGGATCTTCAAACGGTTGTCTTCCAACGAGGCAGGTCCCTCAATGGAAATGAACCGTTGTGGGACCGTGAAGAGGGAGCTTTGAGGGAGGGTTTCTTCCAACATCGTTGGTGACTCTTGGGTTTCCAATGGTCCTCCTCCTCCTCCTCCTCCTCCGCGTCCTCCGCCCTCCTCCTCACCCCTCCTCCGCGTCACTGCCGGCCGATGGCGCCACAGGCCATGCCTCGAGCGGCCGGCCGACAGCCATGGAGGGCGAGGCGGCACGGCGTCGAGGGAGCCCCAGGGGCCGAGGGGCAAAGCCACCCCCCGACCGACGTACGAGCAGATCGAGCCGAGCCCAGCGCTCTTCTCGGACGCGGGCCACAGTCCGGGTGCTTGCCGCGGCCACCGTCGGGGGAGGAGAAGGGGGGCACGACATCTTCGCGCTGTGAACAGATCGCGACGAAACGTTTCGGCCGTTTTCGGCCTCTGTGGGACCTCGCCAGCCCCCCTGGGACCGTCATCAACGGCTCGGGATGGAAAGCCGGCGGTCCCCGGGAGAGCCCCCCTGACCTAGGAAAAAATCAAGCCGAAGAAAACGCCAAACTGAGGAAAAACAAACCGAGGAACAAATACGAGCTGAGGAAAAACAAGCCGAATAACAAACATGTTTTTGGACAGAAGAAAAAAGAACACAACACGCCACGTCGCCTCCATGGAAATCAATACGCCACAGGCACTCAGCAGCTGTGCGTGTCGTTGGAAACATGTAGGATCCCGAGAGATCCCCCACAAGCCCTTCGAGACAGCCAGGAGGTCTCGGAGCTCGATCGACGCGGGGCGTCCGATGCCAGGTTTTTTTCAGTTGATCGGGCCCCCCCGCGACAAGGCGGGGCGCAAGGCTTGGTGCTAGGCGTGCCCCTTCTCCTGCGCAGGCTACCGCTACTGCACAACACCCTCCATTAGACAAGGCTTCTCCCCCACGCTGGTTCAGTTCCTTGGTGCTGGGCGTGCTCCTCCTCCTCCGCCTCCTCCTCCTTCACAGCACCGTCTTTTTGACAAGAGAAGGAGAAGGAAAGGGGAGGCAGAGAGGGAAAGGGAGAGACGATGAAGGGAAGAGGGAGGGGGAGGAGGGTGGAAGGACCAAGGTCGAATTAAAGCTAGCACGCGCCTCAGAAATGCTCAATACCGATGTGTTTCCGAACGATTCGAATGGGATTCCTATGGGATTCCAAAAGGATTTCAAATGGAGTCTTCAGACCTGTTCTTCAGCTGAGGATTTATTCTACTTGCTCTTCGTCAGTTTGAATGTATTCCTCGATTCGTTTCTTTCCTTAGCGTGCCATCGTTCCCCTTGATTCCTCAAAGCCCTGTGGGATCCCTAATGATTCCAACAATATTTTATTTGGATCCGAATAACATTTCAATGGGAATCCTTACGCTTGTTCTTCAGTTTGGATTTCCAACAATTCGGGTGTCTTCTCAATTTGTGTTTTTCCTCGGCGTGCATCGGTTTCCCTAGAATTCTCAACCCCCTGTAATCCCTAACGGTCCCAACAGGACTCCTGTATGATCCAAATCGAATTCCAATCGGATTCCTTGCGCTTGTTCTTCCGTTTGGGCTTTCCTCGGTTTGGGTGTTTTCGTCGGTTTGGGTCTTTCCTCTGTTTCTTTTTTCCTCAGTTTGGGTTGTTTCCTCGGTTTGGGTTGTCCCTCGGCGTGCCTTCGTTTTCCCTTGAATCTTCACGCCACTGTAGGACCCCGAGCGATTTCAATTTTTTTTCCCAACCATCCTGTGGTGTTGGGTCCTCGTTTTGAAGAAACGGTCCCCGCGTTCTCCTTCCTCCCGCTGCCTCCTCCTCTCCGCTGCCCGCACGCGTCACGCACACCCAGTACAGCGTTTCGTGGCCCCATAGGGAGCCCCACCGAAGGCCCCAGTGCTGCCGCCCGCATGCGTCACGCACACTCAATTCGGCACACCCCTCACACGTTTCGTGACCCCATAGGGAGCCCCACCGAAGGCCCCAGTGCTGCCGCCCGCATGCGTCACGCACACCCAATTCGGCACACCCCTCGCACGTTTCGTGGCCCAATAGGGAGCCCCACCGAAGGCCCAAGTGCTGCCGCCCGCATGCGTCACGCACACCCAATTCGGCACACCCCTCACACGTTTCGTGGCCCCATAAGGGAGCCCCGCCGAAGGCCCCAGTGCTGCCGCCCGCATGCGTCACGCACACCCAATTCGGCACACCCCTCACACGTTTCGTGGCCCCATAGGGAGCCCCACCGAAGGCCCCAGTGCTGCCGCCCGCATGCGTCCCGCACACCCAATTCGGCACACCCCTCACACGTTTCGTGGCCCCATAGGGAGCCCCACCGAAGGCCCCAGTGCTGCCGCCCGCATGCGTCATTCGCGTTTCCCCCACACACCCAATTCGGCACACCCCTCACACGTTTCGTGGCCCCATAGGGAGCCCACCGAAGGCCCCAGTGCATGCGTCCCGCACACCCAATTCGGCACACCCCTCACACGTTTCGTGGCCCCATAGGGAGCCCCACCGAAGGCCCCAGTGCTGCCGCCCGCATGCGTCACGCACACCCAAGTCGGCACACCCCTCACACGTTTCGTGGCCCCATAGGGAGCCCCACCGAAGGCCCCAGTGCTGCCTCCTGCACACCCAATTCGGCACACCCTTCACACGTTTCGTGGCCCCATAGGGAGCCCCACCGCAGGCCCCAGTGCTGCCGCCCGCATGCGTCCCGCACACCCATTTCGGCCCACCCCCTCACACGTTTCGTGGCCCCGTAGGGGGCTCCACCGAAGGTCCCAGTGGGTGTGCCCGCATGCGTCCCGCACGCCCATTTCGGCACACCCCTCACGCGTTTCGTGGCCCCATAGGGAGCCCCACCGAAGGCCCCAGTGGCGGCGCTCACGCATGCGTCCCGCACACCCATTTCGGCACACCCCTCACACGTTTCGTGGCCCCATAGGGAGCTCCACCGAAGGCCCCAGCGGCCGCGCTCACATGCGTCCCCGCCACCCATCCCGGCACGCCCCTCACAACAACAGGTTTCGTGGCCCCATAGGGAGCTCCACCGAAGGCCCCAGTGGCACCGCCGCATGCGTCACCACCCGCACCCAATTCGGCACACCCCTCACACGTTTCGTGGCCCCAAAGGGAGCTCCACCGAAGGTCCCGGTGGGTGTGCCCGCATGCGTCCCGCACATTCATTTCGGCACACCCCTCACAGGTTTCGTGGCCCCATAGGGAGCTCCACCGAAGGCCCCAGTGCTGCCGCCCGCATGCGTCCCGCACACCCATTTCGGCACACCCCTCACACGTTTCGTGGCCCCATACGGAGCTCCGCCGAAGGTCCCAGTGGGTGTGCCCGCATGCGTCCCGCACACCCATTTCGGCATACCCTTCACACGTTTCGTGGCCCCATAGGGAGCTCCACCGAAGGCCCCAGTGGGTGTGCCCGCATGCGTCCCGCACGCCCATTTCGGCACACCCCTCACGCATTTCGTGACCCCTCACACGTTTCGTGGTCACATAGGGAGCTCCACCGAAGGCCGCAGTGAATGTGCCCGCATGCGTCCCGCACACCCATTTCGGCACACCCCTCGCACGTTTCGTGGCCCCGTATGGGGGCTCCACCGAAGGTCCCAGTGCTGCCGCCCGCATGCGTCCCGCACACCCATTTCGGCATACCCTTCACACGTTTCGTGGCCCCATAGGGAGCTCCGCCGAAGGCCCCAGTGGGTGTGCCCGCATGCGTCCCGCACACCCATTTCGGCACACCCCTCACGCGTTTCGTGACCCGTCACACGTTTCGTGGTCCCATAGGGAGCTCCACCGAAGGCCCCAGTGGGTGTGCCCGCATGCGTCCCGCACACCCATTTCGGCACACCCCTCGCACGTTTCGTGGCCACGTAGGGGGCTCCACCGAAGGTCCCAGCGGGTGTGCCCGCATGCGTCCCGCACACCCATTTCGGCACACCCCTCACACGTTTCGTGGCCCCATACGGAGCTCCACCGAAGGTCCCAGTGGGTGTGCCCGCATGCGTCCCGCACACCCATTTCGGCACACCCCTCACACGTTTCGTGGCCCCATAGGGAGCGCCACCGAAGAAGATATTCACAATTGCGGTACTCACAATTGCATATGGTTGGGTCCTTCGCCAGGATAATTTTTGCCGATTAGGTCACGCATGTTGCGGGTCAAACCACGGCCCTCACGTCGTTGAAGCACCGCCCTCACGGCGCCGTCTCTTGATCAATTCTTCCCACGCCACAGGCGGGCACCTGTAAGGCCGCGCGCAGCGCGAGGTGCACGAGAAAGAGAGGGATAGAGAGAGAGAGAGAGAGAGAGAGAGCGAGATTTAGAGAGAGAGAGAGAGTGACAGAGCCGGAGAGAGAAAGGTCTGGATAATGGGCGGCAACACCACTGTCACGCTGCCAACCAAATAGCTAACGCTCGACGGGGAAATGCTCATCAGCGGATGCTGGAAAGCGAAAGGAACATTCGCCTAAACTTGCCAAAAGGATGGCGCGACACCAATCAGGAGAAAATGGAAAACAATGTTTCGGCATGCATTTCACGCATCAGACAGATGGCTGCACACGTCTGTGCCCAAACACGACTGGACGCCTAGTGCGTTCAGCACCCAAGGCTGAGAATCCTAGATGAGGATGGCAGAGGGGCCGCTCTGCTTGTTGGCAGATGTGCAATTTGACTGGTCAACATCGTTAAGCACACTCAAATCAAACCCTCTGCTGCTTGCGATACCCCGGACTTTTGCAATAATCTTATCGTCTCGCTCTTGCTGCCGAGTGAAAATCCACAAACCTGCATTGTTCGTGCCAGTTCCGGTGCGGCATTTTCCATCGGCGCCTTCTTTGTTCGGAGGACCACCGGACACCAGTGTATAACCTTCCTGCTCGTTGTAGTCGAGGATCCAATACGGTCCAGCGAGGAACGTCGGCAAGAAGTATGGAGCCACCTCCAGCTGGCCTCTCTTCTCATCCACGATCTTGGCCAAGATGCCGGCGCCCCCGATATTTTTGTCGCTGTCGTGAACGGTACCGTCCTTCTCCTCGGCGTAGTTGTGAACTCTTACGTCGTACCCCCAGAAGGACTTGTTGGCAAGGCGCGAATACTCTGCATAAACGCACCAATTCTTCGACTTGGGTAAATACTCAGTTTCCATTTGCTGCTGGATGTACCACCTGCTCGAAATATAAGATTCGAGATTGAGATTTTCAACGGAAGAGAAGCCCTCTGGAGGACAAACACCCGACGCCAGAACAAGGACCGACGCACAAAACCCAACAAACTTCACCATGCCTACACGATACGCAATAGTCGAATCGAAACCGAATCGAAGCAGCGCGGAAAATTGAGTCGTATTGCCTTGAGCCAAAATGGCTACGGACCCCAAGCGATTTCAATTGGATTCGAATCGGATTCGAATGGACTTTCAATATGATTCCTTACGCTTGTTCTTCAATTTGGGTTGTCCTCGGATCGGGTTTTTCCTCGGTTTGGGTGTTCCTCGGTTTGGGTTTTGCCTCGGTTTGGGCTTTACCTCGGCTTGTGTTGTTCGTCGGTTTGGGCTTTTTCCTGGGTTTGGCGTATCTTCCTGTATTTCCCTCGGTTTGCGTTTCTCCTCGGCTTGGGCTCTTCCTCGGTCTGTCTTCGGCTTCCTCGGTGAAGAAGGAGTCCCTGGCCCCCGGGAAGAAGCCGAGCCACGTCGTCAAACAACACGGAAACCACGACGGCGGACGTCTGGGGGAGAGGGCTGGGCGCCGCTCGGTCTGCCCCTCCATGCCTCCTTCGCTGCCTGTCTCGATGATCCTCAGAACGTGTGTTAGCCCCAACGTGTGCGTGTGTGTGTGTGTGTATGTGTGTGTGTGTGTCTGTGTGTCTGTGTGTCTGTGTGTGTGCGTGTGTGCGTGCGTGCGTGCGTGCGTGCGTGCGTGCGTGCGTGCGTGCGTGCGTGCGGGCGGGCGTGCGTGCGTGCGTGCGTGTGTGTGTGTGTGTGTGTGTGTGTGTGTGTGTGTCTGTGTGTGTGTGTCTGTGTCCACCGAGGCCCTTCGATACGGCGCAGGCGATGTCATGATCTACTGGTTGGGCCGACGGGGGTAAACACACACACATTGGGCTCACACACGCCCCGAGGACCATCGCCTGTCTTTCTCTCCGCCGCCCGAGAAGGCGAGGCCGCCGGCACCGCCGGCGTCGGCGGGGCCCCGGTCCCCCCGCGGGGCGCCCGCCCAGGGGGCGCCCGCGGGCTCCTCCTCGCACCCCGCGGCCGCCCCGGGGATCTCGCGCAGGAAGTACCGGAAGCCACGGCCGGCCAGCTCCCGCACGCCCTCGTGGAAGTGGTCGTCTGCGGGCGGGTCCCTGCCATCGACGATGACCACGCGCTGCGGGGCGTAGTGCTGCTGGACCAGCTTCCACAGGAACCCCAGCCGCTTTCCCCGGCGCCTGTCGAGCCTGTCCCCGTCGGCAGGCAGCATCTGGGCACTCCCCACCACGACCGCATCGAAGGCGCCCCGACGAATACCGGCAGCGATCACGTCTTCGGACCGGTTCATGGGCACATCCTCCAGGCGGAACGCGTACGAGAAGCCTCCGCCGTAGATCGGCACAGGAGCGCCCTCGCCACGGATCACGGGAGTCGTCGAGGATCCGGAGACGATGGCGCACATCCCCTGGGGGCAGACCGTCTGGCGGTCGACGCCGCCCATCGGTGCCAGGCGTGCCGGCCTGTACATGTACTCCAGCCTGGGCACGTCGACGAGGCGGCTTCCCAACACCTCGCCATCGCTCGGACGCCCATTCCCCGTGCGTTCTTCGGTGTCGTGCGCATTTTTCTCCGCGAGAGGATGCAAGCTGCTCTTCGATGGTCCCCGCCGAGAAGAGAAAATGTGCACACGCCCGAGCGATGCCGAGACACCTGGCGGAGCCCGTGCAAGCACAGGTAGCACTGGTAGTCCCCGTGGCCGCAGTTGGCGAGGAAGAGGACGGCGGAGGAGCTCGAGAGGCCCGAGGCTGCCAGCAGGTAGCGCGCCATGGCCTCGGTCGTGAGGCGCTGCTGCGTGTGCCGCAGCAGCTCGGCTGCAGCGTCCGTGTAGCCGCGCTCGTCGAGCCCTCCGGCCTTCGGCTCGGGGGGCAGCTCGGTGCTGGTGCTGATCTGCAGGTTGCCGAGTCCTGAAAAAGAAGCTGCGCGGGCCAAAAGGGCACGATCCAGGAACGCCAGAGCACCACGGGGCACTTCCTGCAGATCGCCCAAGATGGGAATACAGCCATTCGCCAGTATCTCGTACAAGCGCATTGTTTCCCACCCCCACTTCTTTGGGCACAAGGCGAAACGGGCCTCCCGATACATCCGCTTGTACTCCAGCTCGCCAAAGGTACTGATGGGAAAGATGTAGGTGCTCATGTGTCCAGGTCTCAGTGGGGCGAAGCTGGTCGCCTTCGAGGGAAGGCACGCCACGATGTCCTCCTTCGGAATTCCGAAGGAGATGGGCAGGAAGCGGATCGAACCGCAGCGGTGCGCGGGCGGGTGCGCAGGAAGAACGGCGGCCGCGCGGTAGAACCCGGGGTGTGGGCCCGCGCAGAGGTGGCGCCCGAAGGGCGGAACGCCAGGCGCCTGCGACGTGGCGCCCCGCCCAGCCACCTGGAAGGGCAGCAGCGGGACCAGGGCCTCCCAGAGGACGCCTCTCGGCTACACGCAAGAGGTGACCCTGGGCAAGAGCGACCTTCGGTGCGCAGCTCCGCGGGGGACGCGGGGGGGCCAAACGTGGGCGCGCAAGCCGCTGCTGTCGCACCGCGTTCGGCGATCGCGGCACCCCATTGGGCCCGCACCAGAGGTCGCTCCGGCGAAAGGTCACTCTTAAGTCTAATCGAGCCTCGGACCGCGGCCGGCGCTGCCGGGCCCCCGCGCCATGCGCAGGCGAGCAGCGTCGGCAACGGGCACGCCGCGCGCGCGCACGCCGCCAGCGGCTGCCCGCCGGGCCGCGGCGGGGGCTCCAGCAGGTAGAGCACCGCCGGCAGGCCCGCGCAGGCCAGGGCGGCCCCGCGCAGCGCGTCGGCCGCCGGCGCGCCCGCGGGCCCGCGCTCCAGGCAGGCCTCGCAGGCGTCGGGGGGCACCTGTGGAAGTCAGAAAATCCACCCCCATCAGAACCGCCCCGACACGCGAAGTCGTTTGGGAAACGCGCCCAAAGAAGGCATCGAACAGGGCAAGGCGGTTTAGTAAACGCCCAAGGCCGTTTAGGAAACGCCAACTGTCTGGTCCGGGTGGTTTTTCCTCCCTTGAGCCTGGACGGCTGCTATCTCCGAGGCCGGGATGCGCTCGGTGCACAGCAGGCCGCGCGAGACGGCGATGGGTACGCGCGCGGCTTCCGGGTCCTCGTGCCAGTCTGTGAAGCAGGGCTCCGCCGTGACCCGCAGCGGCTCCCTCTCGCTGGCCAGCGCCGAGACCAGGAGCGATGCCACGGGCGCTCGAGCCAACATGAGCACAGCGGGGAGCGCATCCTGCTCGAAAAAATGCTGCGGCGGAGGCGCAGGCTCAAGCCAAAGGCTACGGATCCGCCTGTCAAGACGTTTAGCTGAGCGCGCACGTGCAACAACCAAGGCACACTGCCACGTGCAGCGGAACGGCTGATGCGAACGAAGAGCGGAGGCAAGCAGTACGGCCGGCCAGCTAGGCGAAGGCGCAGCGGTATTTGCTAGACCAAGGAGCCAGCCAGGCCTGAAAAGCTCGTACCTTCGGTTGCCCGCTCTTGTTGCCAGTGCCACGTCCGAGGCCAGAGCTGTCCCATGCGCGGGAGGAAGAGGGAGCGAGCAGGGAGCCGACAAGGGCGCGCTCGGGACCCCCTGTCAGGCGGGGCAGCGTGACCAAAGCTGCGCTCAGCGCCCAGAGCACACCCGCGCGGGGACCCCCCAAAACCCTCTTCGATCCCCCCCCCAGCTAGCCCACGATTCAAGACGTGCCAGATGATTCCACAATCAGTGCTCGCACTGAGGGGATCCTCCTTGATGTTGCGAGGATCTGCCGAAAACTCTGGCCGAACGCTGTCCCGTAGTTGGTTTGCCAACTTCCGCATGTCTTCCTCAATCACGACAAGGCCTGCGGTAATGCGACTCCAGCGCTGCTGCTATTGCTGCCGCTCCCCGTATTTCCGCACGCCGCTTCTCCTTTCACATTCTCCTTCTCCCACTCCTCTGCTGCTCTTCCTTTCTGATCCTTGCCTGTCTTCCTCCTCGCTCCCCCTCCTCGCCCCCGACCCTCTCCTCCCTCCCATTCCTCCTCCTCCTCCTCCACCTCTTCATCCGCCCTCCATCCCTTCCCTGATAGATAATTCCTCCTTGTCGCGCCCCCAAGCGTGTCCGTAGAGTGGGCCTGGAGCTTCCCCTGAGATGATCCTGAAGCTTAGCATGTGCAACAATTTCACGGATGGAGGGCGGGTCGTTCTCAAAACGTAACTCTCGCTTGAGCGCCGCGCATATTCGTTTTAGACGTTTGCAGCATCTTCACGGATGGAAGGCAGGCCGCTATTAAAATGCGACTCTCGCTTTGGCGCCGCGTGCATTCGTCTGAAAAGTTCGAGGCCGTTCCGCGCAAGGAGAGCGGGTGGTGTTCAACATGTTGCTCTTGTCTCAGCGCCGCATGCATCCGTCTTAAGAATTTGCAGCGGGGCCACGGGGGGAGGGCGGTGGTTCTCAAACTGTGGTTTTCGCATCAACGCAACGCAAAATTGCTGTAACGGTTTGCAACCATTTCACGGATGGAGGGCGGCTCCTGTTCAAATACTGTTGTCGCTTTAGCGCCGCGCACATTCATCTAAAATCTTTCAGCAGCTGCACGGAGGTGGGCGGCTCCTTTTCGAAATGTGGGTGTCGCCTGAGCGCCGCGCACACTCGCCTTACGCATGTGCAGCGGGGTCACGGATGGAGGGCAGTGGATTTCAAAATGATGCTCCCGCATCATCGCAACGCACAATTGCTCTATCAGTTTGCAACCAATTCACGGATGGAGGGCGGCTCCTTTTCAAATGTTGTTCTCGCCTTAGCGCCGCGAACATTCTGATCAAACGTTTCCAACCGCTGCACGGAGGAGGGCGGTTCCTTTTCAAACTCTGGGTCTCGCCTGAACGCCGCGCACATTCGTCTTAAAAGTTTGCAACCGCTACACTGATGGAAAAGGACTCAATGACAAAATGTTGCTTTCCCCCAGCGCCGCGCGCATTCGCTTACAAAAACTTGCAAGCCGTTTCGCGAATGGAGGCCGCTTCCTTTTCAAGACGTTGCTCGCCTCGCACATCCGTCTTGAAGAATTGAAGCAGCTTTGCGGACAGAAGAAGGGCGTTTTCAAAATGGTGCCCTCGCCTTAGCGCAACGCACAATCATTTCAAACATGTGCATCAGCTGCTGGGATGGACCGGGGGCCGTTTCAAAATGTTGCTCTCGCAGAGAAAACGCCGCGCAGATTCGTTATAACAGTTTGCACCTGCGTCAAGGAGGAGGGCGGCTCCTTTTCAACATAATGCTCTTGCCTCAGTGCCGCCGACCTTCGTGTCAAACTATGTCAAACTCTTCCAACACTTACAAGGGCTGAGCACTCGTCGATTTCACAACGCCTCAACGCCGCGCGCAGTCGATCTTTATGAAACGCTTACCAGGACGGAGGAATGCTATGTTCCAAGTGGAGCTGCCACCCGAACGTTCGACGCATGTAGGGCTGCACGGGTCCGTGGTGGCCCTTTTGATGGAGCTGTAGCATGGGACTTCCTCGGAGTTCAAAGCCACGAGTGTACTCGTATGCAACAATTACGTACGCTGGTGGCGGGCGGCCCTTCTTCGAAAGGGGAATATCGCCGGCCACCTCGCTGAACTGCATGATCATGTTTCGCGCTCCTGATTGCGCGTCAGAAAGATGCAAGGCAGTCCCTTTCCAAAGCGGGGCCATCGCCAACATGGCAGGCCCAACTATTTTCCTCTCTCTCTCTCTATCTATCCGCGGGCAATCTTCCTCATTCTTCTCCTCCTCCTCTCCTCCGCCTCCTCCTCCTCCTCCTCCTCCTCCTCCTCCCCTTCTGCTCCTCAGCAACACCACCACCACTATTATCATTATTATTATCATCAGCATCATCAGCATCATCAACATAATCATCCGCATCCGCATCCTCATCCACATCCTTATCTTCATCCTCATCCTCAATATTATCCTCATCCTGGTCCTCATCCTCGTCCTCATCCTCATCCTCATCCTCATCCTCATCCTCATCATCGTCCTCATCATCGTCGTCACCCTCCAACTCCTCCTTATCATCATCATCATCACCATCATCATCATCATCATCATCGTCATCATCATCATCAGCATCATCACCATCACCATCACCATCACCATCACCATCATCATCATCATCATCATCATCATCATCATCATCATCGTCATCCTGATCCTGATCCTGATCCTAATCCTCCTCCTCCTCATCATCATCATCATTATCATGATCGCCATCATCATCAGAATCACCGTCGTCGTCGTCAAATCATCATCAACATCATCATCCTCATCCTCATCCTGCCCCTCCTCCTCATCATCCTCATCCCCGTCTCTAACCACATCCTCATCCTCATCGTCATCATCCTAATCATGCAACTCCTCCTCTTCCTCGTCGTCATCCTCCTCTTCCTCATCATTCTCCTCCTCCTCCTCCTCCTCCTCGTGGTCATCATAGTCATCATCATCAGCATCATCGTCACCATCGTCATCATCATTCTCATCATCATCTTTGTTCTCTTCCTCATCCTCATCCTCATGCTCCTCCTCATCCTCCTCCTCGTCCTCAGCCTGCTCCTCACTGTCATGCTCCTCATGGTCATTACCAACAGCATGATGATCATCATGATCATCAGCAGCATCACCATCATAAACATCATACACATCACCATCATCATCTCCATCATCACCATCGTCAGCGTCATCTACATCCTCCTCCTCCTCTTCGTCGTCACCATAAGGATCACCCTCATCACTATCGTCACCTTCATCATTATTCACCACCATCACCATCATCATCACTGTTCTCCACCCCCCAATTCCACCACCAACAGCATCATCATCAACATTACCATCGTCACCACCGTCATCAACATCACCATCATCATCAGACTCGTGATCCGCATCATCATGATCATCCTCATCCGCCTGCTTTTCGTCCTCGTGCTCATCATCACCACCAGCAGCATCATCTGCATCGCCACCATCATCATTATTCACCACCGCAACAACCATCACCACCACCACCACCACCACCATCCTCGCCATTATCATGATACACCACCACCACCATCACGACCATCATCATCAACAACATTATCATCAGTAGCATTGTCACCACCACCATCAGCATCACCATCATCACATCATCATTCTAAACAGCATCATCAGCATACTCATCATCAGCATCATCGCCATCATCATCACCATTATCAGTATCATCATTAGCAGCGTTACCATTATCATTAGCACGTATCATTGTCATGAGTATTATCATTCAACATGTTATTGATATTGATATCGCCCCTCCTCCTCCTCCTCCTCCTCCTCCTCCTACTCCTCCGCCTGATCCTCTTCCTCCTCATCTTCCTGGGTCCTCCTCCTCCTGGTCCGCTTCCTCTCCTCCCTCTGTTCCTCCCCCCCCTCCCCCTCTTTGCTCCTCCTGGTCGGATTCCTCTCCTCACTCTGTCCCTTCCCCCCCCCCCTCCCCCCCTTTGCTCCTCCTCGCTCCGCCAAGGCCTGCTTCCCTCCCCCTCCCGCTCTCCCCCCCTCCACTGCTCCTGCTCCTGCTCCTGCTCTTGCCTTTTGCTCTTGCTCCCCCTTCTGCATTTGCTCTCCGTTTTCTTTCCCCTCCCCCTTCTCGTTCTCCTTTTCCTTCTACTTATCCTTTTCTTTCTCCTTTTCTCCTCCTCTTCCTCCTCCTCCTCCGCAGCATCAACCTTCTCCCTCGTCCACCTTGCACCTCGTCCTCCTCCTCCTCCCTGCCTCCTCCTCCTCCTGCTGATGCTGCTGCTCCTCCTCATTCATTCCTTTTTCCTTGTGAATAATTCCCCCCACCTCGTGGCCCGCGACATGTCTGACGGGCGGGCCGGGAGTTTCGCATGCGGCATCCTCACGATCAATAACCTTGAAGCTTAGAACTTGCAGCATTTTCACGGATGGGGGGCGGGCCATTTTCAAAATGTGGCTCTCGCCTCAGCGCCACGTCGACTTGGTCTCAAACGTTCGCACGGGCTCCACGGCTCCCGTCGCGGCGCGGGGTCGCCAGCGCCGCAGTGGCTCGCCGCGGAGCGCGCGAGGAGGAGGAGGAGGAGGAGGAGGAGGAGGAAGAGGAGGAAGAGGAGGAGGAGGAGGAAGAGGAGGAGGAGGAGGAGGAGGTCGGGTCGTTTTCAAGAGCTGGCCCTCGCCTCATCGCCGCGCACAATTTCGTCTTCCAAGCTTTGCGAGCCCTTCGCGGGTGGAGGGCGGCGGCTCCTTTTCCAAATGTGGTTCTCGCCGCAGCGGCGCGCACATTCCTCCTTCTCCTCCTCCTCCTCCTCCTCAGTCCTTCTCAGCCCTCCTCCTCTCCCTCCTCCTCCTTCTTATCCTCAATTCCTTTTCCTTATAAACAACTTCTCCCTGTCGCACCCCGATGCCAGTTTTTAGGGCGGGTCGGGCGTTTCGCCTGAGACTTCCTCACCATTAATGGTTCTGACGCTTAAGAAGTGTCAAGAGCCTCGCAGATGGAGGGCGGGTCGTTTTCAAAATGTGGCTCTCGCTGTATCGCCGCGCTCACTCGTCTGAAACGAATGCAAGAGATTCGCGGATGGGGACGGCTCCTGTTTCCAATTGTGGCTCTCACCTCAGCGACGCGCGCATTCGTTCAAACAGTGCAAGTGCTTCACGGATGCTGGGCGGGAGGTTTTGAAACTGTGGCTCTCGCCTCATCGCCGAGCACATTCGTTCAAACGTTTGCAAGAGCTTCACGGATGGAAGGCGGTTCCTTTTCAAAGTATGGCTCTCGCCTCACCGACGCGCACATTTGCTGTAACCGTTTGCCAACACTTCACGGATGGAGGGCTGCTGCTTTTCAACATGCGGCTCTCGCCTCAATGCCGCGCACATTCGTCTTAAAAGGCTCGCTGGTGGTTCGCGGACGTCTCCTTTTCAAGATGTGGACGGTTCCTTTCCAACATGTGGCCCTCGTCCCAGCGGCGAGCACATGCGCCCTAAAAGTTTACAAGATCTTCAAGGAGGGAGGACGGGCCGTTTTCAAACTGTTTCTCTCGCCTTTACCGCTGCGAACATGGGGTTCGAACGTTTACAACAGGTTTGCCAATAGAGGGCGGCTCCGTTTCCAAATGTGGATCTCGACTCAGCGCCGCGCACGTTCGTCCTCACGGATGGATGGCGGGTGGTTTTCAAACTGTGGCTCTCGCCTTCTCGCTGCACATATTCGTCATAACATTTGCATAAGCTTCAGGGATGGATGATGATCTATTGTCAAAAGGTGGCCATCGCCTCAGCACCGAGCGCACTCGTTGTAAAGCTTTACAACCGTTTTGATGGGTGGTCACGATTGGCGTCCCAAGAATTGTGTTCTGGCACGGTTTAGGATTGTCAGGGCGCAGCAATCATGTCGATTCGCGGCGCTGAAGTCCCAGGAACGGTTTTCTGGCACGGTTCAAGATCGCCAGGACGCGCCAGTAAAGTTGGTTCGCGGCGCTGAAGCCCAAGGAATTGTCTTGTGGCACGGTTGAAGGTTATCAGACGGTTGTCTTCCAAGAGGGCACTTCAAACTGTCAAGAAAAATTGTTGTACGGACCTGTGGAAGAAGAATTTGGAGGGAGTGTTTTTTGGTTTGCAACATGGTTGATGCGTCTTGGAATTGCACTGGTCCGCCTCCTCCTCCTCCTCCTCCTCCTCCTTCTCTCCCGTCCTCCTCTCCCCTCCTCTTCCTCCTCCTCCTCCTCCTCCTCGTCTTCCTCCTCCTCCTCCTCCACCTCCTCCTCCCCTCCTGTTCCTCCTCCTCCTGCTCCCCCACCCCTCCCTTCTACGAGAGGGCGCGTCCAGCAGGGCCGCCCCCAGGCTGGCGTCGCCCTGGGCGCCCAGGGACGCCGCCATCGGGCGCCCCCGCAGAGGAGGCCCCCGCGCGCGCGAGCGCGCAAGGCGCCCCAGGGGGGTGCACGCTGCAGGGCGCAAGGAGGGGGGGAGGAGAAGGTAGGCAGGCAGGTGGTTGGGAGGAGGAGGAGGATCAGGAGGAGGAGGATTTCGGAGGAGGAGGACGACGCGGAGGTAGGAGGAACATGAGGAGGACAATGAGGATAATGAGGAGAAGCAGGAGGAGGAGGACGAAGAGGAGGAGTAAGGAGGAGGAGGAGGAGGAGGAGGAGGAGGACGAGGATGTAGGAGGAAAATGAGGAGGATGAGAAGGATAATGAGGAGGCGGAGGAGGAGGTGGAGGAGGAGGAGGAGGAGGTGGAGGAGGAGGAGGAGGAGGTGGAGGAGGAGGGAGACGAAGACGAGCAGGAGTCAAGCGTCGGCGGCTTCTGCGTGGAGGGCAGCCCTGGCACGCCGCGGCGGAAAACAGAAGGACAAGGGGGACGAGGACAGGGCGCAGGGACGGGAGGCAGAGAACCCAACGTACGGTCATAGTGCAATCGTCTAGACAGCCACTTGGCTCCAACAGAAATTCTCTTGGAAACTCGCAACAAGAAGAATATGTGTGTACGCCAATCGGCGACGGGAGTTGTCGCGCGCACGTGCTCAGCGCTCGCGCGCGCGAGATCCCAAGACGTCCCCATGACCACAAAACGTTTCCAAGAGGGCCTGAGACCACAGAGGGTAACGTCCAGACGACCCCGGAATGACGCCACCCCAACACGACGATTTTGCCATGGATTCTGGATCGTCCCAGGCCGACTCGAAGATGACCGAACACATGAGCCACGAGTGACGCCGAGATGGCCCGATGGCAACAAGATGGATCCACGCGCGCCCAGGGTGGCCCCACAATGAACACGCGACGGCTGTGCGATCCAAGCATGACCGAGATCTGATCTCAAAGATAATCTCAATCAATACGACCCTGACGTGCCAAAAATGCTTCAACTTCGGAACCCCATCTTACTTCGAAACAATCCCAGCATGGCGGGATCCGTGGCCGACCCGGAATATTTGTTTACCCAATTCTTCATGGGAGGGATTCTAATCTGGCCGAGCTAAAATTATAATCTTAAAGGGGAGTAAGTCAGGCGGGACCCCGCCCGGCCCACGGCAGAGGATTGCATCGCTGGGCTTCTGCGGGGGGCAGGGGGGGTCGGACAGGGCGCCATTCACCTCCGCTGTCCTCCGCAGACCTTCCACCGGCCCTCCGCCGTCTTCCGCCTCGTTTCACTCCCGTCGGCCTCCGCTTATCGAGCGACGTGGCGAAAATTCAAGGAACCTTCGCTGGGCCGATGTTGAGGGGCTCTTCTGGCCACGGCGAGCCTCGGCCATGGACCGGTTTCCCCACCCAGAGCGACATTTTTTTGGATCTGCGGGGCGAGAGCGAACCTCTTCCGCCAAAAGCTAGGCGGGCTACGCACAGCTTGAATTAGGGAGACAGGGCACAGGGCACACCCAGAGCGAAGGAGCGGCCAGGAGGCCCGAGCCCCTCCCGAGCCCAGGGGGTGGTCCGTGCCGCTTCCTGGCTCTGCGCCCAGGGCCTCCGGGCGGCAGGCTGGCAGCCACTCTTGGCCCCGCGGGCCTCCGACGCTCAGGCCTGCGGCCTCCGGTCCCCCGCGGCGCGTGGGACTCCTCCGGAGCCCTCGACCACTCCATTGGCGCGAACCTCGCGACTGGAGGTGCTCTGTTAAAGGGGGGTCCTGGGGCCGCGCTCCGCAGCTCGGCACCGCGGCGCTCGCTGGGCCCGCGCAGCTCGACTGGCGTTCGTTTCATCCTTCCTCACGCCCTCCCTCCTCCTCCCTCTTCTTCTCCTCCTCGTCGTCCCCCTCCTCGGACACAGCGAAAATACATGCGCAAAGAATGCATGCATGCATGCATGCATGCATGCATGCATGCAGTCACGCTGGAGGCTGGCGGAAAGAAGCGGGAAAACTGGCACGGGCAACGCATGCGACTTGTGGTTTGCACACCGGCGCTCTACCCATTCTTCTCGTCGTCGTCCTTCATATCCTTCATCTCCTTCTCCTCCTCCTTCTGCTCCTCCTCCTCATCCGCCATCCATTTCTCCTCCTCATCGTCCTTCTCCTCATTCGTCTCCTCCTCCTCCTTCTCGCCCTCCTCCTCCTCCTCCTCCTCCTCTTCCTCCTCATCATCACCACCACAAGCAGCATCATCAACCACCAACTCCATCATCATCGTCATCATCACTCCACCCCCATTACCACCACCACCTTCATCATCATCATCAGCAGCATCATCCTAATCATCATCAACATCATCATCACAAGTAGCATCTTATTCTTCATCATCATCATCATCATCATCATCATCATCATCATCATCATCATCACCAGCATCACCATCACCATCATCATCATCATCATCATCATCATCATCATGATCATCATGATCATCATCATCATCATCATCATCATCATCACCATCATCACCATCACCATCACCATCACCATCGCCATCATCATCATCATCATCATCATCATCATCATCATCATCATCGGCATCATCGTCGCCATCATGATCATGACATAATCCTGATCATTACCAGTGTTATTAGAATCAGCATCATGAGTCTCATCACCATCAGCAGCATCATCATCCTCACCATAATCCTCAACATCATCCTCATCATCATCACCACCACAATCATCATCACCATCATTAGCATCATCATCAAAACACCAATATCATCAACATCATCAGCATCATCAGCATTATCATCCTCATCCTCTGCCTCATCTGCATGGTCATCACCCTCACCACCCTGATGATTCTCACCATCGTCATCCTCATCCTCATCCTCATCCTCATCATCAGCAGCATCTTCATCATCATCCTCCTCGTCCTCCTCATCCTCATCGTGATCCTCATCGTCATCATAATCGGCAGCATCGTCATCATCATCATCCTCATCGTGATCATCATCATCATCATCATCATCATCATCATCATCATCAGCATGATCGCCAGCATCATCATCGTCATCGTCCACATCATCGTCTGCATCCTCCTCCTCGACCTCCTCCCCTCCTCTTATCTCCCCCTTCGGTGACCCTCATCTTCCTCATCATCCTCCTCGAATCCCTTGTTGGTCATCCTTGCTCCTCCTATTCCTCCTCCTCCTCCTCGCTCCTAGCTCCTCGTTTCTCGCTCCTCTTCCTCGCTCCTCCTCCTCCTCCTCCTCCTCGTCTTCCTCCTCCTCCTCTCCTACCTCCTCCTCCTCCTCCTCCTCTTCCTCTTCCTCCTCCTCTTCCTCCGCATCGTTCCTCGACCTCATCCTCGTTCTTCTCCTCATTCGTCTCCTTCTCATCTCCTTCTCGTCCTCCTGCTCCTCCTCATCATCATCACCACCATATACGGCATCATCAACCACCACCTCCATCATCATCGCCATCATCACTCCACCCCCATTAGCACCACACTTTCATCATCATCATCATCATCATCATCATCAGCATCATCATCATCATCATCATCATCATCAGCAGCAGCATCATCATCATCATCATCATCATCATCATCATCATCATCATCATCATCATTATCATCATCATCAGCATCATCAGCATCATCCGAATCGTCATCAACATCATCATCAGCATCATCAGTAGCATCTTCTTCATCATCATCATGATCAGCATCAGTACCATCATCATCATGATCATCACCATCATCACCATCATCAGTATCATCACCATCATCGACACCATTGTCGCCATCATGATCATGACATCATCATGATCATCATCAGGCATATAAGAAGCAGCAGCATCAGTCGTATCACCATCATCAGCACCAGCATAATCACCCTAATCCTCAACATCATCCTCATCATTATCACCACCACAATAATAATCATTATCAGCATCATCATCATCATCATTGGCATCATCGTCATCATTGGCATCAGCATCAGCATCATCAACATCATCAACAGCAACACCATCATCATCATCATCATCATCAGCATCATCCTCATCCTCTGCCTCATCTGCATGGTGCTCATCACCCTCATCACCCTGATCATTCTCACCATCGGCATCCTCATCCTCATCCGCATCCTCATCATCAGCATCATCTTCACCGTCATCCTCATCGTCCTCCTCATCCTCATCCTCATCATCATCATCATCAGCATCATCATCATCATGACCATCATCATCATAATCGGAAGCATCATCACCATCATCATCCTTATCGTCATCATCATCAGCATCATCACCAGCATCAGCATCGTCATCGTCAACATCGTCGCCTGCATCCTCCTCCTCGACCTCCTCCTCCTCCTCCTCCTCTTATCTCCCTCTTCGGTGACTCTCATCTTCCTCATCATCATCCTCCTCTAATCCCTTGTTGGTCATCCTTGCTCCTCCTCCTCCTCTTCCTCCTCGCTCCTAGCTCCTCGTTCCTCGCTCCTCTTCCTCGCTCCTCCTCCACCTCGTCGTCCTCCTCCTCCTCCTCTTACTCCTCCTCCTCATCCTCCTCCTCCTCCTCCTCCCCCTCCTCCTCCTCCTCCTCTTCCTCCTCTTCCTCCTCTTCCTCCTCCTCCTCCTCTCCCTCCGCCTGTTCCTCGACCTCCTCATCGTCCGTCTCATCGTTCGTCTCCTCCTCCTCCTCCTTCTCGTCCTCCTCCTCCTCATGATCACGACCACAACCAGCATCATCAACCACCACCTCCATCATCATCGTCATCACCACTCCACCCCCGTTACCACCAACACCTTCATCACCATCAGCAACATCATCCTAATCATCATCAACAGCATCATCAGCATCATCATCAGTAGTATCTGATCCTTCATCATCATCAGCAGCATCACCATCATTATCATCATCATGATCATCATGATCATGGTGATCATCATGATCATCACCATCATCATCGTCATCGTAAGCATCATCATCATCATCATCATCATCATCGTCATCATCATAATCGG